GGTGTATAGAGCCAAAGATGTTAGAATTGTGTCGATGTCCCAATATTTCTGGACCTGACTGTATATACCACCAAATCAATACAGACTCATGGGCTTTACAAAAATCAACAAAAACATTAATAAAAGTTAAAACATCCACAATAAATATAAATAAATTAAAACAACTAAAAGCTAATCAAAGTTATAATACAAGGATAAATTATAACAATAGTGATAATAAAAAACAATAACAAAGACAAATAATATCAACAATTAAATCGATTTAATTCAGAGTAAAATAAAAATAGTTGATGGCAAACTATTCAGCCAAAGGTGGAGCAAGCCTTAATTCTAAGGAAAAGTGTTTCACAAGGCTAAAGCAGCATCTGTAAAACAGTGCTTCCTGGCCTCCATTCCCCCTTTTTCATGAAAGTGTGGTATGACCAAAGGTTTTCCTTGGAAGAGCATACTAGAGAGGCTGATTCCTGTAGGTACCTGAATACAAACCCATATTGCACTTTATAAGTCAAAACCAGCAACTTGATTTGTACCTGGAAACCTACTGGTAGCCAACATAGTGCCTGAAGCACAGGTATAACGTGCTCTTAGCAGGTAACATCCACCAGTAACTGGGCCACTGCATTTTGTGCCATTTCTGAGTGGACTTCAAAGACAGCCCCATGCAGAGGCATTGCAGTAATCCAGTCAAGAAGTGATAAGGGCATGAGTCACCAAGGCGAGATCTTCACAATACAAAGAGAGACTCAACTGTTATATAAGTTGGACAAAAGCCCCCCCAGCTACAGCCTCTGACAGCAATAGGCTGAATAATACAGCACCTCAAGCTAATAAATGAAATTTTCCAGCAGCTTCATGTAGATGCTAAACAACAAAGGGGAAAGGACTGGTCCTTGAGGCACCCCACATATGAGAAGCCATGAGGCTGGCCCTTCCTCCCCAATCACCCCTGAATCAGCCCTTTTCTTGCTTATTGGTGGTATAAGAAATAATGATTTAATGAATTGTTAATTTTCTTAACAATTCATATTTATAAGGAATTCCATAGAATCTGTTAAAGAACCAGATGTGATTCACAATGTAATAACATATTAAACAGACTAATCTACACATTTTTCAAAAACCCACCCATCATCGCCTCTAAATATGTGTTCCAAATTTCTGTACTGTCTTGCCAAAAGGCATTCATTGCGGCACTCCTGGATACCTTCCCCTCAATTGGCACCAACAGAGAACAGTGTGCTTTTTACTATGATCAGCTCAGTGATGTTTCCAGCAAAGTAGATAAATTTTGCACTATAGCTATTGCTACCAGAAACCACTGACTTAACTGGAATTTGCATACTGTAAAATTATTAATTTATCTTCAGGTGATTTGCAATTAATTCCCAGAGGTCTGACAGTTCAGTGAAAATGTCAACCTAGCGTTCCTCTAATTGTATGTTGGGGGTTAATTATATGTTGAGGAATGTATTTTACATTTAAACAGGTTCCACAGTTCTACATGTACAGATGTCAGTGTTTGTTTTAGCCCAGATTCCTGATGCAATAACATTGTGCATAACATTGAAATGATCTGGTTTAAGTGAGGTGCCAGTTATGGGGAGGAATGTGGCATGGTTATTTTTACAAACTCAAAAATACTTATCACTTCTCATATTTTGTTAATCAAAACTGCCATCAGGCATGGAAATTCAAGCCCAAACTTGCTTTATCAACAGAATGTGAAGATGCAATATCTTGATTCATTAATATATTAGGATTGGCACTTTATTTTTTAAAAAGCACAAACAGTATAAATTCCCATAAATCAAATGTAGATGCAAATCTCAAGGATGCTTAAAAAGTAAGATGGTGATCCTTTATACACATACAAGCAGTCCATTCCAGTAGTTCATCTAAGTCATGCCCAGCAGGCTATCTGAGTTAATTGCAGTTACATTGCAAGACTCCCCACCCCACCATGTATGACATACTCATGTCTCCTCACCTACTGTCACTACAGTCACGCAGCTGTTTATGTCACTACTTGGTACAATGATATCTTTTTATTTGGAATAACACCTGCATATATGCATTCACTACTAGAAACTATTTTCTCTTGCTAACTTCACAATTATCCAAATTAAACCAAGCATGACATATAAGCCTTTTGATTGTTTTATTTGTGGCACTAAATTAAATTAGTATTTTACAGTATATTACATATAGTCCCTGGATTGCAGGCAACTAGTAGTATACTTTTAAAGAGCAAGATTATATAATCTAGCAATAAAACACTGAAAGCCCTTTCTGACCATGTGCAGTCTCATCATGATTATAAAATTAAACATACATAATGAATACAGCTTAAGTTATCTTCTATACCATCTAAAAACAAGATCATAATTATGTTAATTATATTTAATGGCAGATTTTCCCAAGTTGTACATGATCAACAATAGCTTTTTTTTTTTCATACCACTGAAACATGTTAAGGATGTACCCATGGGAACAATGTAGTTCTAACAGATATACTATGAGCCCAGTCAGAAGCATTTGGAACCATGACCCACTGGCAGCAGTCAGCCAGCTTTGAGAAGCTATAGAAGAAGCCCTTTTGATTAAAATTTCTGATTTGGAGCATAATCCACCAAGATGTTCTCTTTTTGCAAGCCATATTGTTGGGAATTGTGAAAGGGCATTCCTCTGTTCCCAGGAAGTTCAATGCGTGTGCTTGCAGAAACTGTTCTTGGTGGACTCTGACATAAGCATGCAGGCTAGCATCATTTTTCCTCAAAGTTCAGCGCATCTGTAGATATTAGTGCTTCATGTCTCCTAAGGTAGTCTATCAAATGTAGACTTCTGTAGATTTATAGTAATTAGTTACACAGCTGGAATATTGCAACTTAATTGTCTCTAAGAAGTGGCAATTTCAGTACATGGCACGCTAAGTCATTCCGTTTCTACCATAATAACTTCTTTCAGTTTATTCTAAAACATCTATAGCAGGATTGTGCAATCTCTTGGCTCAAGGGCTGCACCAGGCTTGTGCAGCATGTTGAGAATCTCATTCCAAAGTAGATGAACCCAAACTTGCTTTGGGGAAAGGCTTCAGGAGTTTTAAGAGGTGAAGTAGGTGATTTAAGCTACAACAAAGATTAGGGCACCCTTTAATTCCGAATGTAGAAAAAAACGAAACAAACCACACACACAAAAAGAAGATGCCTGACAAGTTTGGCCCCTTCCTCTTGTAGGATCTGGGAGCTACAAAAGAATCCCATGGATTACACTTGTTGCATTCCTAAATACTTTTACATTTTAAAAGAGAGAAAAAGATTCAAATATGTGGTTTGGAACAGCTACACATTTTAAATCACTTAATGAACAAAAGAATGATGTGCTTCAGGTACATAACAAAAAGTATTTGACTTTTCCCAGAAATATATTTAAATGTTATTGCAGGACTAAAAAGTAATTAAAAGTTCATGAATTTGGCAATTTGCCATTAAGAATAGTTTTGGCTTGGTGTAACTCTGGAAAGAGGCAGCCCCCAGATCCTTGGCACATAAGCTGAATCGAGAGGAGCACATAGACAATTAATGTGGCTTGTAAACAAACTGGAAAAATACTTGGATTCTTTTTATTATGGGTGACCACTTTTATCTATCACAGTGCTTGCAGAGTTGTAGAACAGGTATTGGTGCATCTAATTTTCACACAAACAGAGGCACCTGAAACAAAATAAACATGTATTAATAACTTCTTATATTTTCAAGCTCTTTTAAAATGTCAACATGTTATATTCTTTTCCTAGATTCCTTTTAGATGTATAGATATATTTTGAAAACCTTTCCAATGTTGGATATACAAAATAAAATTTTAATTGTTCCTTCTAATTGATTTATTTTCCTGGAACAATTAGAACCTCTCAGGCCTTCTGCTGAATTTTATACTAAGGAAAAATGTTCTGCCTTCAGTGTCTCCTACAACTGTATCTAATACTTCTGTCCATGACCCAAGACACTCTTCTGCCATCTATAGACAAGATGTTCAGGGGTTTCTGTTCATCACTGAAGAAAATCAAATAGAGCAGAAAGCAAAGCATTCCTTTGCTGCAATATTTCTTCCCCCTTTCTTACATTTTTAAAGTAAATTTGAGGACATCATATTTGATATTAATACTGAGGCAAGATATATATAAGATTACTGATTTGGAAAGTGCCTTGTTTTTGGAAATTGCTTTCTTACTTCACTAACTTTAATGCTATGATTTATATATCACTATTTACAATTTTTTTTCTAGGTGAAATAGCTTTATACTGTGTATACTTCCTTACTAAATGGTCTGAAAGGTGTGTTATTTATTTTATGATTTTTGTGAGTTATTCTTTTAAAGGACAAGGAGATTAGACTGTGCAATATTTATAGGCTTGTAGTCTGATGTGAGAAAATTCCATCTGTGTTTGAAAACACATAATTTCACATTAAGATATACTTCCAACATTCTGGGAAATCCACTGGTATCAGAGATATCAAACTGTTTCTATTAATCTTGCGAACACTGTTACAGGCATTTTTTTTCTGATGTCTTTAATTATTTTCCTGTATGTGCTGCTTATCAGTCTGAGTAAGACCTACTGATCCAACAGTCCCAATAGTATTAGACTCTATAGTAGCAGGTTTCAAATTTGAGCTTTCTAGGATCTTGAGCAGAAATTTTCTCAAGCTGTAAAGGATTGATGGAGTCGGTTCTCAGGCCTCATACATGCAATGATATGGAAGTAGTAAGTTATGCTCACACCATTATTACATCTGAAAGCAAAATCTGTCCTGGTGATTTCATACAAAGAAAGTGTTCAAATGTTCCACCTCTCCTACACAGAAAGTATTCTATGCAGAAGGAGGTAACTTTTCTGCTGGGCTTATTGCAGAGTGTGGAGTATTTGCAAGTCAGCAGCTGGAGGAGAGATGATGGATGATATGCTTCTTTCATGAAGACGGTATGGCACCACTCTCCGTCTTTTCACTAAAAGAGGCAGTAATTGAACTGCCCTAACATCCAGCTTAAAGACAGTCACCTTCCTGTCGTAAAAAGCTCTCCTATTAGTTATAGCATATAATTTGTAAAACTGCTTCAGCTGGTGTGAGAATACAAAAGCCTAATGTGACTATACTTTTTGTGCTCCAGTTAATTTTCCTGAATGGCTTTCTACACAGTCATTTACAAAGATGTGTGAAAAATCTCAGCAAATAATTCAGTTTACAGCTGCCAGTCCTAAATCTAAACTTCTTATGTGGGAGTTTAAGAATTGTAACACCCTATCTTGTACCCTACCATGGCTTCTCTCAGGTCCACAATATCCTTCCTACAAATAAGCTGCGTACCTTTCTTAACCGTGCTGTCCCAGCTCCTGAGCGGATTGCTTCCATTAAAGCCTGCCTTGAATTCCCTGGGCTGTCTGTCATTCTTGCAAGAGACCTGGGTGTTTCCATTCCCAACTGTGTGGGAGGTAATGGCAAAGGAGGTGGGGGAGGACCATGTTGCTGCTCATCTGTAGAGATGCTGCTATTTTGCAAAGCTACTTCTGCATTTCGGAATCTCTGCAACTCATCAGAAGCAGATGAAGAAATCTACCAATGAGAAAATTGAAAAGAAAAATAATTTGTTCATAGAAGAGATATTGGAATAGTGATAATTTGATACAAGGCATGATCTCAGCTCCTGAATAATTCTGGTTTATTAAACTTCTATGCAATTTTATTTTTCTTAAGACTGAACATCTGTTCCTGCTCTTTCATATCTTCCAAAAGGATTGATAGTCACAATCAAGGATTTGGCCTTGATGCAAAAATTCAATCTTTATTTACGGACATTCTATTATTGTTTTTGGCACAGAAGTGAAAAAGTATTAGCCACTATGCTAGATTGGAAACAATCAGACATTTTGGAATAATATGACTATATATGACACATTAAATCATCTAATAATTTGCTTTCCCTGGCACAAGATGCATTACAAACTAATAAATGTGATGGTTATTCCAAATCTGCACCTTCTGATCTAGTTTGTTTACTGCGCTCTAAAAACTCATTAAAAGCTGTAATTTGTATTCTCATTTGAAAAGCAGTAACAAGAATGAACAAATCTTGGAATTCACCCAAGACAATTAGACAATAACTAATAAGGCTGTACAGGTACTACCTGATCCAATGTGCAAGCTGATCCTCCATGCTGAAAATAGCCCAACTAGCCTTATGATGGTCTTGAGGGTACCTTGTCATGAGTCATTCCCAATTCTAAAAAACTATTTTGGAAAACTGCAACTTTGCCCTCCTATTACCTACACAGAGAAAGCAAAAAAATGTCTAAAGTCACCTATAATCATTTTATTTTATTTTTTACAGAATGGAATGAAATTTGCAGAACAGCCAAACTGTTAAGAGCAGCATGACTGCCACTTTTCATAAAATTAGTGCAAGGGTGTTCATTTGCTCAGACAGACCTACTGACATGAACTAACAGCATAAAAGCACATTCTTTTTTCCTACAAGAAATACCAATAACAAGGGAAAGATGCCTGATAATTTGCAACTGATAAATCCCGCATCAGCAGAATAAGGCTTTCTTTCCATAGAATTAAGCTTTAAGTCCTGTTTGTTTTCTGAAGCAATGAGGTTTCTTAAGAATATTCAAAATTATGGGGGTTGGTTGTAGATTAAGAATGTAAAAAAACCACAGTCCTCTCCATGCACTTGGTAAAGATTCTTGATTCATTTAGATGTAAGAAGCATAGAAAATAGAATTTTATTAATTTTCTTTTCTTAATGTTTTCATAAATTTGTGGCTGCTTGAATTAGTACAGAGAATATAGCAATAGATTTTTAAAAATGTACAAATACAGAACAGGGCTATCTGGCTTGGCAACAGTACTTCTGAAAAAAATATACTGAAATTGTAGTTGAACACAAACTGGATTTGAGCTACCAGTATTATGGGGCTGCAAAAAGAAGGTAACATATTTTTAGATTGTACCAATAAAGGTGCAGTCTCCAGATAGTTCCACTATATTCTGTATTGGTCAGATCCTACCTGAACCTTGATTTACTTCTAACTGAAGAAGCATTCAGGAACATTGGAACAGCTTCAAAGAAGGGCAATAAGGATGAACAAGAGCCTGAAAACAAAGTGCTACAAAAAGAGATTGAGTGAATATCTCTGGATATATTTAGACTCAGGAAATGACAGCTGAAGGGGGATATGACAGCATTTATCAAGTACCTGAAGGGGCCTCATACACAAGAAGGCTAAAGACCTGCAGGACAAATAAAGCAAATTCCATTTGAATGTTTAAAGAAGGTCCTAAATAGTAAGAGAATTTGGCAGTGGAACCAGTTACTTAAGGAAGTGCTGTGCTCCTCTTCATTTGATGTGTTCAGGTTGTTTTAACTTGAATTCCTAGGCTAAGCAGAGAGTTGGACATGATGGCTTAAATGATCCCTTCCAATTTTATGATTTGCAGAGATGACTAAGCCTGATCTCCCACTCCAGCGTTTGAAGATGACACAGAATAAAGATGGTCAATTTTTACAACTACATGCCACTTATTTTTTAAAAAACCACAGGGAGTGTGGCCAGTGAGATTATGTCATCTATAGAGTGTTTGGGGTAAATGTTTCAGCCTACTTTGGGGGATTATTTGGATGATGAATAGATAAAATTATAGTCTTTTTCAAAAACCTAACTGGGTTTGATTCCAAAGGAGCATACAGAGTCACAAGAACAGAAAAACTTGAAACAAAGTGAATAGTAGCAATGGGATGAGACTAAGAGCGCAAACATTACTGCTATAGCCCTTAGTACTAGATGAGTGGTTTTGAATCACATATCAGCTGCATTGGAATTTTGGAAATTGGTATAACTCATCGTGCTGTACCACACTGTTGCAAAAAATCTGATTCTTCTAGTTTTGACACTGTCGATGTAGGTTTTATCTCTAGTAAACATGTTGGACAATGGTATCTATGGTAGTCCAACAGGGCTATCATATTAATCCCTTATGGGTTAAAGTATGGCACATAACAATAATTCCAGTACTTGGATATTTGAAATATTTCACAAATATTATTCCATAAGGCAGAAGTATTAAATTGCAACTAACTAGGCATTGGCCACCTCAGTTGCCAGTGTAGGAAATTTTTATCTGAAATATTCTGAAGATTCTGTTGTATAATTTAGGATTTTAAAAAGAAGAGGAGGAGTGATAGCATGATGAATTGTTCCCGTAAAATCAAGCTGTATAATCTTGATAGTCAGATTTAACTAGTTCTGCAGATTTCCCATGAATAGCATCCTCTAATGTTGTCCCAAGTACTAGACTTTTACTGTACAGTAGTTTGTTCTGCATCTTTTCTAAGACAAGCACAAAGGATGGAGGCAAAGTGTGTAGAGATGCAAGTATATAAAACAAAGGGAGTTAGTCGAATTCTGTGTCAGAAACTGTATGCAGCATTCCATAAAAATAAAACCTTTTCAGTTTCTTTTTACCTCTGAGCTTGATTGGATTTTGTCCCCAGTTCAACACTGGAACCTAGCCTGATTTTTCCTTGAAATTCCCTCAGTACCAATTGTAATGGAATTGACTATAGTATGTATTAATGCTGTTGCCTTTTAGGAGCAGAGGTAGAAGTTCTCGCTTTTATATATGGTTGAAAGCATGCCAGAGAAAGAGTCGTGTCTGAAGCTCAAAGTGCTTCACATATTAAAGCCTACAGACAAAGAGACAGAATCTGAGAAGATTAGTTGGAAAATGAATGGCTATCGGACAGGTCTCCCAGCTGTGTTTTGTACATTTGCAAAAGTTTAAAAAATGTCTTCAAGGGCATAAGCTTCGCGCCAGTATCCTGTACCTAAAGGTAATAGATTTTTCTTTTTTTCTTTTTGGAAGAATGGAAGGGGACCTCACAATGTCTATTACTCATTTCTTCTGATGTAAACTTTGGGCTAGCATACATTTTTCCACTAAAAAGTGCACTGTGATCAGATAAACTGCACCAGCTTCAGCACAATGATGTTAAAACAGGAGGGGGCAGGTCAATCTTGTATATGTATACACACATATACATGCACAGAGAACAGAATTTTTCTCAGAGAGGTCCCCTTTTCAAGAGGATTTCTTGGTATCCCAGATGAACATGTAACACTGAAAGTAACACGGACATTCCTGAAAACAGCACTATGTCATGGAGCCTTGTATCAGAAGATGTAAGCAAAAACAAAGCAGAAAGAAAATGGAAAACACAAAAAGAAATAATCTCAAAGAAAAAAAATTATTCTAATGTGATTACGACTGTGATGTTCAGAAAGGAATGCAGGAAAATGACAGGAGCTTGGGATTATGTAAATAATCTACAATTTAAATTTATTACACCTAGAGGCCACAAGGAAGATGTTTATAATAAAACAGTAAGCAAGCACAGGTGTAAGGTTCGAGAGGCCACAGAGCCCAAGGTTCCTCGGGATTTTCCTGGAAGGCAGCTGACTGGTTCATATCAATTTCAACAGCAACCACAGCATAGGAAGGCTGTCTGTTGTGTCATCATCACGTTCCCAGAAGAAACTTGGGGAGACTTATTAGATTGCTCATTTATTTCTAGGAGAAATACTTTTTTTGTGCTTTTGTTTTTGATCAACAAAATGTCTTTAAACACTTCCACATGGTTTCCAATTTGTTTCTATTTATTTTTACTTATTTATTTGTTACATACAGTTTAAATAGTGTGATCACAGTTAGAACAGGGAATGCCCATTTCATTGGAAATTTAAGTTCTGAAGAATCAGAAAACAGCTTTGAAATGAATTTGTCCTCATATGAAATGGTAGCTGTAGTTTTCAAACAGAAAATTGTTAATATTTATGCTACATTGTTAGCAATGACTCTTTTCTCCTTTGGCAGAAAGACATTATTGTTGGGTTAGGGAAGGAGAGAGAAGAAAACCATAACGTTTTATTTGTTTTTTATCTTCTTGGACAAATTCATATTTGGAAAAGATGTTTTATGTGAGGCAAATTTGCTACTGAAACTGGAATGTTAAAAATTTACCTGGAATTCTCCAATCCTGTTTGCATGGCAATCCTATTCAGAAGTTGCCACCCTTATTTTAGCTGACTCCTAAAATACATATTTAGCGTAATGCTGAGCCATATAAAATGAGCCATATCCTTTGTTTAAAGAAATAGTCTAGCAAATGAAGAAGGGAGCGGGTCTGGATCCTTCACACCTATTTTCCTAGCATTCTTTTTATTGCAATTAATTCCCTGAGAAGGACAGAGCTTCCATCTTAGGAACATGTCTATTTCCTAAGAAATAGGAACAGAATTAAAAATGTACTACAGCTTTCATTTGAAATCATGATTGTTGATTGCTGGACCATTGGGCTTTGTAAGACCCAATTATACTGACAAATTTATAATTAGGAGGAAAAATAAAGAATGAAAGAAAGCAATGCTCAGAATGGACTGCTAGGTGAAATTGCTTTTTTAGCAATTGCTATTTCCAAACTATGGATTTCAATTGAAAGAACAGCAAAGTACAAACAATTTGCTGGAGGGCTGAGGAAAAAACATCTTCAC